GTTGTAATGTGACAAAATATGGAAAAGTTCAAGGGGTATGAATACTTTTGCAAACCACTGTATAAGTCTGATTTTACCTCATAAGGTCTTCGGCTGACAAACTCAGTCCTCACTGTGTCAGAATGGATGTCAGCAGTATTAGTAGTAGGAGTGGTTTATTTTTCCTAAAATACTTCATTATTGTTTTTTTACGACAAATTTAATAGAAAGGGGCGCTGAGCAGAGTTACAACCAGGGATTACAGTTTTTTTCTTCTGCAGTTCGGCGCCCCCTCCAGCAGATGGCGCTCTAAGTGGCCGCCTAGTTCGCCTATGCCAAGAGCCGGCTCTGGTTGCAGGATCATCTCTTGGTTGTTCTTTTGAGACAGAGTTTTCTCCAGGTACTTGTTTTAACACAGACCAAAAACATAACTGGTTACTCAGTCTCTAGGTGGTATTCGCGTCGTCTCTATAGAGAAGCATTAGATATGGGGGAGGAAAAAACGTGCAAAAATAAATGCAGACATTTGTAAAATAATAACTTAGTCATCAGAACAGACAAAAAATGGTACAGCACAATCCCCTGGGTGTATCGCAGTGATTGATATATTAATATATAACTTTTTGTTTTATTTTTTGGGAAACAAAAACACAATTCCCACGTGTAATATTTTATTAAACCAACTAACAGAGTCTACATTTCAGCGGCTGCAAGTTTATCGACCTGGTTCGCTTTTCCATTGGCTACAAACGACTGACGCAGGCGTGTGTGCCAACCAATCAATTAACGCGACTCTCCCTTTCGGGGTGTTTTCAGAGCGAGCGAGCTAGCGAGGTTGAAAAGGTGGGTTTCGCGCTGCATCCTGGGTACATAGCTCCACTGTGTGATGGTAGTGAGCCTGTTGTGTTGACTGGAAACCAGCGGAAAGTAAAACAGGGGGAGGGTCTGTCGCTCTCGCGGCGAGTTACAATGCGTCTTTCACCGTGTTGAGCCGCCTCGCACAACCATGAGCCAACTTCACCGGCCGCCTCGACACGGAACGAGCCGCTCTTGAGCTCCGAAAACGAGTTTTATTGTTGTGGGTTTTTATTTTTTTGGCGGCGGGGGGGAGCGGGAGGAAAGAAAATGAAGCAGCCGAGCGCCCTGCTCTGTGTCGTGGGCTTGACTGGGAAATGGTAGCGCGCTGTGGGAACCGCACTGGGCAGGATCATGGTCGAGAGGAGCAGCAAATTCTTGTTGATCGTCGTCGGATCCGTCTGCTTTATGCTGATTCTCTATCAGTACGTGGCCCCGGGGGTGATCAGCTTCGGCTCMCCGCACGGTTATTTCGCGGAAGAGGACGAAGGGGACATCTTCCCCACTCCGGACCCCCACTACGTTAAGAAATACTACTTCCCCGTCAGGGACCTGGAGAGGACGATCGATTTCCAGATCAAGGGGGAGGACGTGATCGTGTTTTTGCACATCCAGAAGACCGGGGGGACTACCTTCGGTCGGCACCTGGTCCAGAATGTCCGTCTGGAGGTTCCGTGCGACTGCAGACCGGGCCAGAAGAAGTGTACCTGCTACCGGCCGAACCGCAAGGAGACCTGGCTCTTCTCCCGGTTCTCCACCGGCTGGAGCTGCGGCTTGCACGCCGACTGGACCGAGCTGACCAACTGTGTGCCGGGGGTCCTCAACAAGAAGGAGAACAAGCAGAAAACTCTGAGGTAAGAAAATAATAATAATAA